AGACAGACAGACAGAGACAGACATACAGACAGACAGACAGACAGACAGACAGACAGACAGACCGACCGACAGACAGACAGACAGACAGACCGACAGACATACATACATACATACATACATACATACATACATACATGCATACAAGGGATGCCACTCCACCGGATCAGTTGTCTTCGTGTGACTTCACATGTTTACCAGATTATGGATCCAACTTTCCTTCTGCGGTAATTGTGTGCACAAGTACACCTAAGACTCTGCCACCGGTCCAAAAGAATCCACTCCCTGTCTCTGTATACTCTCGTCGTCTCTCTCTCTCTCTCTCCCTCTCTCCATGTTCTCCGTTTTCTCCACGCTTTCTTCCCTAGGGCCCCTGCAAGCCCGGACCGCTGCCACCGCCGGAACCCCGCAGGGGTTCGCGCTCGGAGCCTCCACGCCGTCAGAACAGATGCTCCGATCGCGTCTGGGCCTCGCTTCAAGCCTTCTCTACTCGTCAGAGCACTTCGCCCTCTGAGGCTTCGACGGTCCTCGTAGCCACCTCAGCTTTCCGGCAAGGGATGCACTCGCCAGAAGCAAGCTGCCGACGTGCCCTGACCCTCGGTTTGTCTCGCCGTCTCGCCTCCTCCGTTCTCCGCATCCTTGTAGACGTACCTGATACAACGCATGGCAGAGAGCAGGCACCCGTTTCTTGATTCCCTGTCCGCACCACGCAATCACGGCCGCAGGCAGCGTGACGGCGGGAACCAGGATGAGGATCAGCGATCGCAGATTCGAGCTGCGCGTGACACAGAGCCAATGGTGCTGGACTTCTGTCATGAGACCCTGCAGCTGTCCGCATGATTTCCTGTGCACATGGCCTCTAGAGTCTCTAGTTTTTCCTTTGCTACCTTCCCAGAACTCTGGGAAGCAATATGCCTGAAGGGCAGATTGTCAGAGAAGAGGGGGAACGGAGAGTGGACCTGAGCTGAGAAAGCACAGAATGAGGCGACCCGCCATGGTGCCCTCGGCGTTACCTCCTTGGTGCCCGGCCCAGAAATCAATGAACTTCACGAAATCGAAGATGCCGTTAATGAAGCACATCATACCCCAGTAACCTCACGAACATGCTGCTCCTGCGCACTTTCTGCAAGATCCCAGCCTCTCGACTTTTTTCCTGGACTCATTCTCGCTGAATTCTCGGGCAGCGGACACAGGAAGGTGCCGTGCATCTCCTCCTGCGCCGAGGTCCGAAGCAGGCAAAGCAGCGGACAGCACCGGCAAAGTGGGCGGAGGGCGGCAAAGCGCGCAAAGCACACGCCGTGTGGCCTTGTAGGCATACCACCCGAAACCTGTTGCGATGGCCTCGCCACAGCGATTTCACTCGCCGCGTGAATCTCGCACAAACGACGCCGCAAAGCCCGGCAAAAAGGCTCATGGCAAAACCCGCGGCAAAAGCCCACCAGGGGCCCGGGCCATAATGAATCCACCCAGGATATCCAGCAGGAACACCTCAAGGCTCTTCTGACTGCAGTCCGCGTTCTTGTTTAGCGCCTTCCCTTTCTGGGACTTACAAACACGACTTCTTATGGTCTAGCACTCAGCCACGCACCCAGCGGGAAAGGATGACGACGGTCTGCAAGATCAACAAGCAAAGGATGGTCGTCTGCCTCTCACGGGAAAGCTGCTGTCTGCCGAAGATGGGCTTTGAAACCTAAGACGCTAAACTTTCAAATGCCAACGCCCTCCTCACACCCTCGAACCCCGGACCCTCAACCCACTGCGACTGCGACGACGGCTCTCGGTGCCTGGACTTCGCATAGCTGCTGTAGCCGCCCAGGGCGACGGGCCTGTGCTCTCCGGCGGCCGGCAGCATTCTTCCCTCTCTTCAAACCTTCCGAGTGCTCTGCGGCATTGGGATGAGCATCCCGCCTTCCGCCTGAACACCCGCGCTTGAGCAGGCAGTGGCTGAGAGAGGGAAGGAGAGGAAGCAGAGAAAGAGACAGAGACGAACAGAGGAGATAACAGAGAGATAGAGGGAGCAAAATCAAGCATAAAGAGAGAGAACAAGAAAAACAGAGAGAGCGAGAGAGAGAGAAGAACCAACTGCAGGGGCACGCTGAGCCCTCGGCGGGGCCGAGGCCGGGCGGGTCGTTTCCCCCCCCCCCGTTTTGGAACGAAGGGCCCCCTCGGCCGAGCCCCCGTCAAGCTGGGAGCCCAGAGCGCCGGGCGGTTCGGGATTCTGCCTTTCCGGGTTCGGGTTCAAGGGCTTTGGGGTGCTTTGGGGTGCTTTGGGCATTTGGGGCTTACGGGAGGCTGTAGAGATTGGCCCTTTTGCTGACGGTGAAACCACAGATACTCGGGAGCGAGCCCTGCAAGCTTTCGGAAGACAAAAATACTTTGGATGGATTTGAGAGACCCGCAAGCCCTCTACTACGACTACCTGCTCACCGACTGAAGCTCTGATATCTTAAACAATTGAGCGCCCTTTTTTCCCTGTCCAGACAGTACTCTTGGAATGTGTCCATACTCTTCCAACACATGCACGTGGACGGTTGAAAATGAAGCAAGTCTTGTCTGGACTAGGGCGGCGCCGATTCCGCGGCGGGCGGCGGTCACTGATCTCTGTCGCCACCAGGCCTAATCCGGGCAGTTGTGGGACGAAGGGTTTGGACTTGGGATAAAAGGGAAGAGGGGGTGGGATCCAAGCCTGCATGGCCTGTAGACACATACCATGCACAACACTAGGCGCAGAGTGTTGCAGAGGTGCCCACACACCGACGCAACAAAGGTTGCCCATGTTTCGTGGCAGAAGTGAAGGACAAAAATCTGCTCGGGTCAACCGCTCGACTTGTCGAAAGGAGAGTATGCGGATCCGGGCAGATTTCGCCCACCGACATATTCGAGATTCACCTAGACTGACACATGCAAGCTCAGGACTGTGGGGTTTCAGGCGTTGTGTCGAACTGTGGTCGCTGCAGCCCCCGTACGTGGAACGACTGACCGACAGACTGACAAACTGCTTGAGTGACGGACGGCGGATGCTGACTGGCTGAATGGCTGCCTGCCTGTTTGACAGACCGACGGATGGATGGAACATAATCCAAAGCATGTCAAGCAAACGAAAAGAACCCACCCCAGCTCGCGAAGGCAGAGTTTGTTGTGATGAGAAGCTTGAGCAGTTGCGACGTACCAGTAGTCCTCTTCCAAGCTTGGGCCCAAGCACAACGTCGAGGCCGCCCTTGTTACCGGCCTGAGGTCTCAGCATCTTCCGACTTGAGGGTGAGGGCCCCAAGACCCTTAAGCGCAAACCTTCCTGCAGCTGAGGTGGATGGCCGAAGAACCCATTCAGCCGCCTACTCCTGCTGTTGATGATGCTCGTCCTACTCTTCCTCCTCCTGCTCTTGCATGACAGCTACCACTGCTGCTACCCACAGAAACAAGAACGTTCATGACAACTGTCGTCATCATCCTCACCATCAGGAAAACCAACATCGACATCACGAATAACGGTCATGGTCCAATGGTCTTCGTCGCAATCAAAGGCGTGATGCAGGTGCAGCTTGTTTGAAACTTCGGGAGCTTGGGATAGCAAGGATAAACCCGAAAGCTCTTCCCAGACACTACCTTACCGCAGCGGCATCGTCAGAAAATCTTTGATTTTTAGTGGCTTGCACGCTGACATGTTTGCCCTCGCCAGATGCAATGATGCACCACAAATATGCACATGTTGCACCGCCTGACCGCAGTTAGACTTGAGCTGCCGCTTTACGTGACTATTTGGAGACAAGACCCCACGCAAAAGCCCTCGGTGTTGCGTTTCAGTTTGCGTGCCGGCAAACCCAGATGAGCTCTTGCAAAACGTTCATGTTCCGGCCCACTTCCGCTCTCCCGGAGATGCAGCATGATGCTGCGTTTACAATGCTTTGGCTCCTTTTGGAGACGGAAAATGCTACTCTTTTGCGAAGGACGGCGGATCGGGCTGCGGTGGACCTAAGTGCCCTGTAATGCTATATGCGCGGATGAGATTTGCGCTTGAGGGTTTCGTTTGGATCCGACTTGGCCACGACATGCCATGCTGCAGGTATAACATGCTTGTTTGGTCGAGGTGCATGCGGCACAATCGCAACAGCATTCTCGCCATCATTTGCAGAATCATCCCTATTACACTGCATACACATTTGAACCTCTGAGAAGCTTCCCGCCTTGAGCTGATTTCATATCGCGTTGCTCCGAAAATGCTTTGACCACCTCCCCAGCTTGATAGTCTAAAACCCGTCCTTTGAATCGTACAATAAGCCATTCATCCAGCCAGAAAACGCTAACAGGCACTGAAACTCATAACCGCCTCTCCAACCAAGGACCGCCAACATCTAGAAGCCCCGGCGTTCCATCAATAGGTTGGGCCCAGGCGCTGGTTTTCCTCGGCCCTTGCCTTTCATGAGGAGAAGGCGCCATCTCACCTTGGATCCACAGGGTTGCTTTGGGCATTGAAGTTCGCGATCTAAGCAGCAAAAGCCGTTCCCAAGGGCATCCGCTTGCAGGGGCATACTCGGGCTCCGCTGGAGGTACTCATGTGTCCAATCTGCAAGTTCGGAGCGCTCGCTGGCAAAAGCCTCATGGTGAGGGGATTTGAACTCTCACAGTTCAGAAGATGCAGGATTGGTCAAGGAGCCAACAAGGTCTCCAGAAGCAAACACCAGCAAAGCGATGCGACAGCGCCTTCATCTCTTGCGCAAGCGCAAGTGCAGCTTTCTGGATGAGGTGGAGATCGCCTTTTCCTGTCCTGAACATATGGTGTAGCGGAGTGTAGCGGCCACGCATTGACATGATGATGCATGATGGCAGTCCGGACAAGCGGCATGGCGGCGCAGGGATCAAACCGAAGTTTCGACCGCCGGCCCATGGCTGCTGCAAAGCCTCGCTGGCTCCGGAAATGCTCCTAGAGGTCTTGCTGATGCCTGCTGTGAAATAGTGACTGTCACTTCAGGTTTTGCTTTAGCTGTTTTCAGTGTTAGATACGGGAAGTACACAAGCAGCATGTGTGGACCCTTGAAGTTCCGACATGACAACGTGAAGAATGTAACTCTTACGCTTCTCTCCCCTAGCTGTCAATGAGGGTGTTTCGACGCAGCAAGTCGTGACTTCAGAAGCAGTGCAAAGCTGAGCCAAATGCATGCAAGAATGTCTCTGGCTTGAACAAGCCTGCTCAAGTCCTGGCTGATCGCGAGCGGCCTCGCCCGGCGAACAAACCCTCTCCGGTCGAAGCTTCGGTGATCATGGCTCTGCCTTTTTCTCCGAGCCCAGCTGTTAAAGTTGGACATCCGAGAAATTGGTGAACCGCCGAAGCTCGCGCTGTGACCAAGCTACAGCGGCCTTCGTAAAGCGCGCCTTTGCGGCGCCACGATTTCCGGCCCCTCGGCCACTTTGGCTTCTCAAGTCTCTTTTCAACGCCTGATGAATATCTTCGAAGGGTTCAACGAGGTGCCAACCGCTTCTAAGGGCGCTTGCACCTGGAGGCTCGACCCCCAAGCATCTGGCTTTCGCAATGGACACCCCAAGCACCACAAACAGGCAAGAGCTGACCCCGCTGGCCCTTCCCTGGGGTTCTGGCGCTGCGTGCACGACCTTCGGCCCCCACACCCGGCTCCCCAAGCGGAGTCTTCCTCAGACCATCCCAGATGGTTTTCATCTTCGCCATGCCCAACTCTGGGCGACGGGCATCGCCGCCACACCTTTTCGGCGGCATTACTTCCGGCCTGAATGAACACTCCAGTCAATACAGAGCTGACATGTCACGAAACACAGCCCGCAGAGCATGCGGAGACTTGGCCACACTGACAATATCCAAAAACTGGATGCTGAAAGTAAGGGCTCCCTCACATCTGGCGGTCTCGCCGGTCCGGCTGGACTCGCTATGGCTATGGAAACTCAACCACTGCGTAAGTGGAAATGCAGCACAGTCAGAAGTTGCATCGTCGCTCGGCCTGATCTCAGCCTCGCCTCGTCAGCGATTTCCAGCCTGGCAAACGAGCAGCTCTCATGCATTCTCATGGTTGGTGTGGTTTTTCGGAGTTCGCGGCTTTGGGTGCCTGTTTGGCCCTGGTGACTTGCCACTCACCAAAAGTCTTGTCCGTAGTACTGGCGTGCATGCTGATCAGAGCAGTGTGGATCACAGTGACTGACGCACGGCCCCTTGCACAGCACGTGCTGCCGCAAGTTGCTTCAACTCCCAACCTTCCTGAAGCAGCTTTTGCACAGCAGTCCGCTCAGACAATCCTTGGTGCAGCATGTGGCTCTCATCCAGGAAGCCGCCAGACTGTCAAAGCCTGTAACAAGCGTGAGCCGGCGAGATGACTCCCGATCTTGGGTCCTCGATGTCCGTGGCTATGTTGCCGCAGCGCTGGATTTTATCACGTTCTGCGTGCTCGGGCGTGTGACCTTGAGGCTGCTAGTCCCAATCACTCCGCCTCGTAGAAGGCTTTCGCGGGCAGTACGAGAAAAAAGGGGATACTAGCTGAGGATCAAGCGCTCTGCGTGGATTTGGCGTTTTCGCGGGGCTTCCGGTCGAAAACACAGCTGAGCCCATCTGAAGCAGGCGGATTCACAGCGCTGTTCGTCACCCAAACGGCAGAGCTCCCTTGAAGGTTGCAGCATCACCTGCGAGAAGAGCTGTTGTGAGTGCACGCCAGAACTCGATGACCTGATAGGCTTCTTGACGGTGCCACTGCCGCGTCGCCCGCGAGACGTCCATCAAGGCCTCGAGCGGCAAAAGCCGCAGCAAGGCAATGAGGTGCGCTGCCGAATCGAAGTAGATCGTGTAGGGCAGCAGGGACATCTCGCTCCACTGCGACCAGAAGAGTGTGCCGTCTAAGGGTTGCAAATCCCTGCGGTCGATGGTGAAAAGCTGGAAGGGAGATCGTCCAAAGGGTCCCCTATAGTCCTCATCCCACTGCGACAATGCCTCGGCACATGGGCCGACGTCGGGAAGGAAACCCCACGGGTCTCGGTAGAAGGACTCTGGAAGAGTTGGCATCGGCAGCTCCTCCTCTCGGAGCTCGGCATCGGCGTAGCACTCTCCTGGGGGCCGCGAGCGAGCTTCCGTGAACTTCGAGGCGTTTCGGCCGGCGGGGCGTGCGATCATCTGTGACCACCTGGGGGTTCCCGAAAATAGGGGACCCTAATATAGTAGCCTAAATAGTAGGATCCTTAATATAAGGACCCCAAAATAAGGTACCCCTAATTTTCGGAAACTCCCACCTGGTGGTCCATTTCCAGAGCTGTCTTGGCATGAACATCGGCATCCCCATGGCCTTGAACTCAGCCAGCTTCAGGTGGGCGAAGTCATACGGCGTAACGACGACACAGCGAAGCTGTGCAATCTGCGATTTCGGGGTCTCGTAATCGAGACCTATGCGCCCTTGCTCATTCTTGGCATACGCATTCAAGCCCCACTCCAGGAATTTCAGGTGCAAGCCGCTGGGATCTAGAATAACATTCTCTTCTGCGTAGCGGAAGAAAACTGCGATTGCTTCATAATCGATCGAGGTAGAGAAGAGAACAGAGTCTGGTTGAAGTGGCTGCCAAACATCTCGCACGGCCAAGGCAATCGGGCGACTGTGGGGAATCTTGCGACCGACTAGCCATTCGAATTGGCGGCTGAAGAAAGGAGCAAAGCCTACCACGACGGCGTTTCGGAATTCAGGGTCCGCGAACGCTCTCAAGTTGGCCACAAAATCATCCTCAGCCTCTTCAGGCACCAAGAAGAAAGGCGGCTGGTCATAGACGGCGAGCATGGACTTCTTCCGGTTGCCGCGCAGCAGGTCCTCGAAGAGCGTGCACCAGAAGAGCGGATGGCCACAAAGGAAGAGATCCACGTGGGAGTCGAGCCAGTTGTAGTACTTGGCAGCAAACTGCCTCTTCACATCCGCCCAATGTTCATGGCCATGGTTGCGATAAGCGCCTTCCCACTGGCCCTGGCTGTGATCATGAATCCCTTGCATGCCTATCAAGGAAAAGAGCTGCTCGTCCTGAGAGCAGTAGGGCATCCTCCAGTCCTTCTGCCTCGGCTTGGCGGCTTCCAAGGCCTCCTCAGAGCAAGCCCGGCCCACGCCAGGACAGCATTCCGGAAAGCCCATGTAATGCGAGTAGATCTTCACTGCGGCATCTGCGGCGCCTCCGGAAGGCGGCCTTCCAGTTCCCCGCTGCCACCAGTCCTCCAGAAAGGTCAGCAAGTCGCTGAAAGGGGGCACATGCATGGCGAGGAAGAAAGCGCTCACGAGACTCGGCGCTTGCTTGGGGGCCTGACTTCGCCAGGCTGCCGGCGGAGGCCAAACCGGGGGGACCAAGTGCGACAACGGATGGACAGGAGGCGGCTCTGCCGGAAGAGGCGCGAATGGCAGTCCGGCGTTCATGCGCTGTATGTTCAGGTAGACACTCCAAGAGGTGATGGGCCAGCCAGAATGCTCGGTCCAATCAACCTGCCCCTTCTTGAGCAGTTGTGAAATCAATTGTAGGTACAAGGTCGCCTCGTTCCTATCCATGTTCAAAGCGTACCACCACGCGACGATGTAGAAGATGCTAATGTAACCAAAGAAGCAGGACCAGGTCTCCGGCTGCAGATGTTTGGGCTGCAGTGCTCGCTTTTTGATCCCATGAAAATCCCCGGCAAGATGCCAATTGCCATTGTCGTGCCTGTGATAGACAGTCTCATCTTCGATCTCTTTTGCCACAGAGAAGAGATTCTCCAGCCAGGGATACTTTGGAAGGTCAGCAAAGGATCCAGGAAATCTGGGAAGCCCCTCGGGCATGTGCTGCACAGCAGCAATCATCTCAAGCCGTATCGCCGCCCACCTGCCGTCGAAGCTGCAGCTCAGAAAGTCGGGCACCACGATTTCCTCGACCATCCCTCGCGACTCTGCCTCCCAAAGCCGCAGAAGGCCTCGCATTTTCTCGGAGTCCTGGCCTTTCCCAAAGGCATCTACACAGCCTGCAGCCAGAGCCAGGAACAGGAAGCAAACTGGAGCTCTGGCCACGTTGTCTCGCAGAGATTCCATGGCCACGCTGGCACAGTCACTACCAAATTGAGTGGCTACTCAGGCTACTCTCTCTCTCTCTCTCTCTCTCTCGCTCAATCGCTCTCTCTCTCGCTCTCACTCTCTCTCTCTCTCTCACTCTCTCTCTGTCTCTCTCTCT